CACACACACACACTACACACATACACACACACACACACACACACACATATATATATATATCGACAGCGTTAAAGACGCGAACGTTTAGCGTGGCAATGTTGGGTCCAGTAGTCAGCACGTCGTGTGCCGTGTGTAAGGGGCGCTGTTGCCTTTGGGGTTTCCGGACAAGGATCGGATGTGAGAACAGATAAAAATAAAAATAAACGGAGTTTATTCACAAGCATGGGCATGCGTTTTTATTTAATTCGAGTGAATGTTAGTATCGTCTCCTGGTTCTCTGGTGCAACGAGATGGGTTTATGGCCAGTACGACTGGCTCATGTTTCCAACACCCTACACCGAGTGCCTGACTATCTGATCACAGCATGAATTAATTTAACCTCACTGAAAACGAACAACAACATTGCCACCTCCGCCCATAGGTTCACATCAGAAAGCAGCTCAAACCGTGTATAGTTAGATACACTGCTGGCAGTAGGATCGCACTATGGAAAACACCATCTGCACCATTCCCCCCCCCCCCCTCTCTCTAAAACTTTACCAAACAGATCGTCTTACGAGTGCTTGGCAGACCCCTTGTGCCAGTACAACTGACAGGTCAAAGCATACACAACCAGTTTCTGTTTGTTTGCATGTTCGTAGCTCCACAGCCTGATGTGATGTCCAGATCAGATATATTAGTGAGTCATTCGCTCGTGATTCCGGACCACGTGCAATTGCCGGTGTATCTGTAACTTCAATTCTCAGCTGAAAACCACTGCCGTAGGTCCCGAGGGACAACTCTGATGCGATTTGTGGCATTGAGCCACAGACATCCTCGACAGGAATTCAAATGCCATAGCTGATACCTACGTGGCCACTCGTCACTAGCGTCTGTAGTGGCAACAAACAACTTCCTATCTGTACCTATCCTCCGCAGATACAAAAATCGTCGAAGTACGCCATTCAATAGTCAAGCCGCCAGCGTAGTCTAATGTGTTCTGGTGGCGTGCATTCGACTGCTTGTGTACTATACAGACACAACGAGCCAGCGCGTGCACCCACATCTATGCATCGAGTCCACTCGTAGATACCCTCGGCATTTGCGAGCCAGCCCGTTGTGTGCCTATCTAGCTGCTTTGGCCTACAAACTCGCCCTCTCTACCCCGAGGCGTCTCCTGAATGCATGTGCGTTCGTACCAGATAACATTCTCGACAATTGATTGGACGGCATGGTCTATGCTGATATCTGCACCGTGTTCTGATTGCTCGCATACGCGAGTTCCCCTACTTATACGTAAAGATCACCGGCGTTTGTGAGTCTGTTGTGGGCATACTCTGTCTCCCTGCAGACGCTGGTGTGTGCACGACCGAAGGCCTCGCTACCATCCCACCCGCGTCATTCCGTGGCGTCTCCAGGACACCTGTGTGATACTCATGCTTACCAGAGGAGCTTCTCGAAAGCTGATTGGATGCTGTATTTGGATGGTTGGGGGTGTTTTCCTTGTTCGCGTACACGTCCGCCACAGCAGGTCCCCTCTTATACCTATCATCCTTATACAGAGACGGTTTAGAGGTAGACCACCCCATAGCCGAGCCCCGAGCATAGCCCTCTGCTCTCCGGCTGAGTTCAGTGGACTGTGTGTGTTGCGCAGAAACATGCGGCTCTGATACAGGCATGCATATCTGCTTCTCCCGTCCTTGTTCACGGAGTGTGTGCCTGCCTGTACTACCGGGGAATAAGGCGCTCACCGGCATCGGAGTATTAGTGAACGACGTATCCAACACACCTTCCCCTTCCAGATACCCCTCCGGACCACGTCTCATCATCCCATTCCTTGCCTGACAGCCTACCTCTGCTACCACGCGCCTGTCCGAGTATGATCCGATGGTAGTGGCCTTCACCAGTGGTGTCAGCACAACATTGATGTCTGCGTCAGCATCACCGTGTCGTCCCGACTGTCCACTTCGCCACAGTGACCCCTGGGGCCGAGCCTCGGGTTGAGTGCTTCGCATCTCCGGACTGGTTGTAGTGGTTGCTGAACGTCTGGACTTCACGTGCGAACCTGTACCCACCACTGCCGCCTTTTCAAACTCTCTGTCCGGTTCTGCATTGTCCCGCAGCCTGTGCTCGGTTATCGGCCTGTCCGCGGAACGCGATAGGCGGCGTAGACTGTGGCCTGCACGGGGTGCGGGTGTCTTGTCTTCTCGTGCGTGAGCCGTCTCTCTCTCGCTCGGTCTAGCTGGCGTGTGCATCTCCGTATGCAGACGTGTGCCCTCACTGTGCGCTGTATCGCTTGCCCTCGAGTGTGTGTTGCCAGTTGAGTGGCCCGGTTGTCCCGACAGTGTGGACGATAGGGTCTCTGGCTGCGCTCGCCCTTTTGCGTCAGAACGCTCGGTACCGTTTGGCCACCGCAGATGCCCATTCGTGAACGGATTGACCTCCTTCTTCTCGCGCGTACTTCTGTTTTCAGGCGGCCAGTGGCTTGTATCCTCCACTTCCGCACCCCGTACAGAGCCCTTCCCGGCTGCGTATATGGGGGACAAATCCGTCAGGGAATGATCCACTCCAGCCGACCTCAGCGTTGGCCTATCCTTGCCCGTCGGTGAGCCTGTATTGAGACGGCTGTCACCTGCCCCGCCGAGTATTAACAAGATCTGTTCGTTCCCTCTGTGTGGCGAATCGTACTGGCGAGCTTGCCCGGGAGTATTATTATTTGTAGCACTCGACTTTGGCGCCCCATCCAGCGTGCTCTGCCTCCCTCCGCTATTCATCAGACCCTTGTAGCTGGCAGCTGGTTGCTTAGCAACGCTGCCGCTGCGGAAACTGTCCATGACATACCGGCTGGCTCCGGTGTTGTACGTATTCCGATCTTTGCCACAGGACTCACTCCCCGAGGCCTCAGTACACTCGTAGTTGGTCTGTTTCTCGTTCGCATTGACCTTGACTTGCACCACACTCCGTCCCGTGGACCGCCCATGGTCCCCCGTCACCTGTGTCCACTCGATGCTGTCCTCACAGTCCATCCAGCTGCCACCCAACACCTTGGACGCCTGCTGCGGCGCTCGGGGTTCTCCATAGTCTGTGGCTTTGTGTGGCACCTTCTTCCGAGTGGGGGGGCCTACACCGTCTCTGTGTGCGCCGCTGCTGGCTATCCCCCGGCGCTGTACCGGATTCTTGTGTACCTTTGTACCACCCAGATCAGATATGTGAACCACCGGCTTGTATACCCGGGCCGTCGACGAGTGCCTGTCTTCTGCGCTCTCCCGGTCCGCATTCGCAACACTCTGATGTGACCGCAGCCGCTCTCTCGTATGTCGATACGAGCCCTGATCACCCGGGACTAGTCCCTTCACCGCCGATGTACTGCCTGGCCCACCAGTACCAGTGGCACGCTCACGCTCACGCTCACGCTCACGCTCACGCTCACGCTCACGCCCACGCCCACGCCCACGCCCACGCTCACGCTCACGCTCACGCTCACGCTCACGCTCACGCTCACGCTCACGCTCACGCTCACGCTCACGCTCAACTCCCACTACATGCGTACCCTCGTGCTGTCTGTCGCCCATCCCAGCCGACCCTGCGACTGATGTGCGAGCATTGCGTGCGCCAGTGTGCTCTGCGGTGTCTCGCAGATGGGTACCAACATGCAAAGGTTCAATACCATCCCTCGGCTGACCTTCCGTCGGAGAACTCCGGGTGGTATGGTGTGTAGCCGATGTGTTTAGGATATCGCTTTCCAAGCCGCTGGGAGGTCCCGAACTTTGTTTAACAGTGGTGTTGTCATTGGTCGAGCGTTTGGAGGCGCTCTCATGGGATGATGGGGGCGAGTCAGAGATACATCGGAACGACCGTGTAGTGGTATCTACGGCGGGTGCGGCTTGTTGACGGTGTTTGGGGATCTCTGATTGTTGCTTGCGTTGTAAGGTCTGGTAGAAAGACTTCTCCTGCGCGTCGGCAAAGCTTCTCTCAGCCAAACAGAAACTACGCCCCCTGGTCGGTCCCCGGTCCTCCTCCTCGTCATCGTACACTTCGAAGTCCGAGTTAGACACCTCATGCGCTGTGTTGACACTGGTGTGCACAGACTGAAACGACACACCCTTCCGTCCGGCCACAGCCCGCGACTGGTTCACCGGTACTCGCCTGTGATTGGGATCGTTTGTACCGTTCGTATCTTTCGTATTCTGTTGGGTTGTATCCCGCACGGTGTGGCGCTGGGTTGATATACCTACTGACGATCTGGACGGCTCGTGCTGCTGACTGTGTTGTGCGTTGTTTGCCCCGCCATGTCCGGTTGTATAGCTCAGGCCCTCGTGTGCCGCTCCGTGTTCAAGTCTCGGATCCTCGGCGGTACGAACATCGGTCTCCACAATAGAGTGTGTAGAACTACTGCGTGCACGGTCCCTGGCCCGGGCCGTTGTAGCGGATAACGCAGCCGATGCCGCGTGTATGCTCGCTGCGCTTGCCCTCCCAATCAGAGTGCTCACATAGTCTCCGAGTGGCCCCAATACCAGGCTATCCGGGGGTCTAAAGATATAAGGCATCTGGTCACGGCCACGGCTTGAGGGTGTCGCGGAGACGCTCTTGGTACGCATTGAAGTACTGCTTGAGTATTTGGACGACTCGGCTCTCTCAGACATCGCTAATCGGTTGGTGAGCGTACCGTAGATGGTAGCGAATGACTCTGAGCCGGTAGCCTCAATGGCGGTAGCGAGGCCCTGTGCCAGCTATAGTAGCAGCAGAGAATAAGAGTATGGGGTTCAGGGTGTAGCGAGAGGCTAGGAGAGGTATATTCATATAACATGGTACTATAAGGATGGATTTTATCGGATTGTTCGTACACAATAGGATTTGAACTAAAGAAGAGATGAAAGAAACAGATGCATATACGGGGAACGCTGATTGGACAATCAATAGACACCTAAAGCGTCCAATCAATAAAACACAGGCATCTACCGGCAAAATGAGATATTAATGGACAGCCAATGCAACAGGTGTCTTTCAGAATTTTGTGGTGCACTTTACATACAGGCCAAGGATACCGTGGACTGGTGTTCTATGCAGTGTGTGAGGTACATGGTAATATATATATATATATATATATATACACACACACACACACACACATATATATATATATACTACACACANATATATTATTATATATA